TTTGGGCCACAGCCTCAATATTCTCGGGTGTGCGCACTGTCCGAGCTCTGGGACCACTTCTGTCATCCACTAACATCCCTTTCTCACGAACTTTCCTCACCAATTTGCGTATAGCTCCTTCGGTGGGTGCTCTATCACGACCCATATTTCTTTTCAAAATTCGTACAGTTTCGGCGACACAGCACTGACTTTGAAAATAAGTTTTTAAAATTTCAAAACGCTCTTCAAGAGAAAACATGTTGTTTCGTGCCGCGGACGGTATGACTAATAAACTGTCAAAATTTCGGGTCTGTAGCTCGTTTGGTGTTGCCATACGACGAAATTCAAAAACGTACCAATAGATGGCCCACCCTTTATATAATACAAGGAAATAATATTATTTGTCAACTTTGTTCTAAATTTGGTCATAATGCTAAATTTTGTAAAACAAGTAGTAATACTATGTAGTAACAATAATCAGAATAAACCCTCTACAATCTGTCAATGATGTGATAAGCCAAGTTATTTGATCAATAATTGTTTGAAAAAATAAAACGAGCAAGATAATTCAGAAAATAAGGCAAAAATTGTTTGTCAGATTTGCAATAATTTTGGACATGTCACCAAAGATTGTCGATCTAAGATAACACAAGATGCTACATCTTCAGGCTCGCTATTCTGTCGCTTTTGTAAAGAGCAAGGACATCTTCTTGACAACTGTGAATTACGCATCACAAGTAACAACAGAAGGCGAGTAAATAATCAGGGAAACTCCGATGGCTCCTCGAAGTCGGATGTGCAACAATAATGGTAAATCTCAATAAACATAGTCGCGTGCCTACCATTCAAGTAAGGCTTTGTGAATTCACTCCATACATAACTTTTATGTTAGATACCGATTCTGGGCCAAACACATAATTAAAGAAAATTTTATATCAAGGGATACTACTGTCAACCATAATAATATATTAAAATTAAATAAGATAAATGAATATCCTGTTTATACTTTTTTTGAGATCACTTTACCGCTTTTTGAAAATAAAGTTACTTTTCATATTGTATCAAACGATTTTCCAATCACACAATCAGGCATATTGGGTAATAATTTTTTCAAACAGATTTCCTCAAAAATAGATTATGCGAAGGGATATCTAACATATCAGGAATTACTATACCCTTCTTTTCTTCAGAAATCATTACAGCATCTTTGCGAACAGAATTATTGTTCTACGTGAGAATAGAAAATCTCGAGATAAAAATAGGGTATATCCCAAAAATAAAGGTAGTCCATGGAATTTATTTGGGAGATACCATAGTAGAAAATGTCTCTGGAAAAGCGTTTCTAAATGTTATAAGTACTCTGAACGAAGAAGTGGAGGTCCAGGTACCAACCTTGTGCTTTAAACCGTTTAAATGAATTATTTGATAACTACGAAGATTATCGAATAGAGATTGCGGATATGCAGACTAAATTTGTGTATTCAGAAAATAATCAAGAGTATTGTGAGGTTTTGTGAGTATTTGACAGCGACGCAAATGATACTATAAATAATAAAGAAGACGTACTGTCGAAACTAGATGACGGGAAAATTGCAATTGAGGAGAATATATAATAACTAAATCTTCCCAAAACAAGGATGGGAATAAAATTGAAGAGGAAAGCCAAGGTATAAATTTAAATAAAAATTTCAATCTAGAGGAAGATTTTCAATCCTTCTCCGAGACTCTAGATTCCCAAATCCTTGGAGGGGGAAGCTTCCAAACCCCTCCTGAAAATCTAATCGATTCCAAAATCCTTGGAGGAGGAAGTTACTAAATCTCTCCTGATAATTTATCCAATTCCAAGACCCTTGGAGGGGGAAATTTCCAAACCCCTCCTGAAAATTTATCCAATTCCAAGATTCTTGGAGGGGGAAATGTCCAAACTCCTCCTGAAGATTTGTCCAAATCTCAAATGCTTGGAGGGGGAAATTTCCAAACCTCTCCTGAAAATTTATATAATCTTAGAATTCCAGAGGAAGGTTTCCGTACCTTCATGATAAATTCTACTCCTGTTGATTGCGAGGAGGGAAATAACCAAACCTACCTACGCAATACGACTCAAATCTTATTTGAACAAAAATCAAAGGGAAAGGACACATTAACATCTAAAGAAAGAATAAAATTCCGAGAGTTGGAATATCCACGGTTAATAATAATGAAACCTCTTAAAATAATATTACCTTGAAAGAACTTATGAAAAGAATACAATCACGTAATCCTAATGTCAAATCCTCTTATAATTATAAAAAGAAAAATAACCCGTCTTCGAAAATTCTTGCATCAATGCAAGTTCAATTCCAAGAAATAATAGAAAAATTTATGCGCAAACATAAGTCGAAACAAAAGGAGAGAGCAGAAAAGGATAATAAACCGCTTGAATGTTTTACATTGTCAGAGGAACTTAATAAGAATAGATTTACAGAAATTGTTGAATTATTACGTTTAGAACATTTAAGTGCACAAGAAAAGAAAAGTGTAATAAATCTTATATCTAATAGCCAAGATTTCATATTCCTGGAGGAAGACTAAACTGCAACTAACGTATTGCAGCATCTACAGATTTCCGCAACTTCATAAAGAGGAAATAAATAAATATGTCGAAGAAAGGCTTGAAGGAGGCGTCGTAAAACACTCATTCGCCTTACAATAGGCCCATATGGATAGTCCTGAAAAAAAAAGGATTCGAAAGGAAACAAGAGATGGAGAATGGTATTAGATTTCCGCGCTCTAAACGAAAAAAACTGTCAGAGACGCATATCCATTAATATTGTTGACATTCTAGATCCATTAGGCGGAGCATGATATTTTTCAGTATGTGATTTGGCTTCCGGATTCCATCAAATAAAAATGGATCCTGCGGACAGCCATAAAATCACTTTTACAACTTCTTTCGGGCATTACGAATTTGATCGCATGCCCTTCGGATTAAAAAATGCTCCCGCCACCTTTCAAAGATTAATGGATCTGGTTTTATCAAGATTACAAGGCCAGGAATTATTTGTTTACATGGATGATATTGTCATATATGTCGCATGTCAAATTTTGAGTGGAATTCATCGCGTGCTTTTATTTCTGTAGACGATTAAAGCGAATAATCTTCGTATTCCATTTTTTGCAAAATGGAAAAAAACAAGTTCCGTGCAGTGATCAAACATCTATATATGAAAGGTTTAACGTCGAAAGAAATCAAAGCCGAGTTGGATAATGTTCATAGCACATCTGCACCAGCGTTTGCAACTGTATACAATTGGGTGAATGAATTTAAACGTGGTCATACATCCACATGTAATGCACCTCGTTCGGGACGTCCAATTGCAGCTGCTATGCCAGAAATCATCCATATAGTCCACGATATTGTTTTGACTGATCGACGAGTGAAAGTGCGCGAGTTTGTTGAGGCACCGATTCAATGAATTCCGCTACGAATTGCTTCCACGTTCAACATATTCGCCAGATATAGCCCCCTGCGACTATTTTCTGTTTCCAAACCTGAAGAAATGGTTCGGAAGAAAGAGATTTATTATCTGAGAGCAGCTCATCGCCGAAACAGAGGTTTATTTTGAAGAGTTGGACAAATCATATTATTCGGACGGCTTGAAAAAGTTGAAGAATCGTTGGATCAAGTGTATCGAGCTGAAAGGAAACTATGTTGAGAAATAAAAATGAATCGAGCAAAAAAAATGTGTTTTGCTAAATGTTTTTCTAAAAACTTATTGACTTGCCCTCGTATTTTTACTTAAAACCTACAAGGCTGTCTAATCTCATCTCCCTTTGTGGATCCGCGAACTCTAGTGCTGTGCCGTGAAATAGCGGCGTTAGATGAATATTTAAAGCAATATACGAACGAACAAAAGCAATAGGATAGATGGATCGGATTAGCAATGTTTAATTATAATATCAATGTCCACGAGGCTACCAAACATAGTCCGTACGAGTTAGTGTTTGGTAAAATAACAAGGACTCCGTCCAATGAATTATTAGATCCTGAAGATAAATTAGCGAATTACGACGATTATTTGATAAATAATATTAGTTACGCAACTCCATGTCAGAAAAATGCTTGCGAAAATATTGTTGAAGCCAAAATCAAATCTAAAAAACGTTACAATAAGAAAATAAACCCATAAACATTCAAACCTGGAGATCATGTATTTTTATTAAAAGAACTTAAACCAGGCAAATTTGGAGATCAATATACAGAACCCTACGAAGTTTTAGAAATACTAAACCGAAATAACATAAAAATTCGGATAAATAAAAATAGTCGTATCGTGCATCCTAATCGATTACGAATTTCTCATATAAAACCAGCTCTCAATAACTAAATAAATAATATTAATTATTACTAAATTAAAATTTCAGATGGATCTTATCCTCGGATAAGAGAAATCACAATATAATAATATTATTAACACTATGGATACGTGAAACTTATAGAATAATAGGCTATGACTGCGGATTTCTGTTAGCAAATATAACTACTACGTCATTACTTAATATTGAGGAATGCGATATCCCTCCACAAAATGTAAATAAGACCTAAAAATTCATACAACTCATTCAAGTTAACAAATTTAAAACCATACAAATAATACAATGTAAGGTTGAAGTCGATAGAACGGTTAAAAAATGTGGGATGTTCTCTCACACCATGGATGTTCAAAACGGTAAATACTCGTACATACAAAAAACATCTCGTGAAGCATGCAAACGCATGTACACCCTCGGTTATTTCCGAATGGGACACGTTTATATAACCGAATTAAAACCAGACGACCTGCCACCTTAGTAGGACACATAAATAATGACGGAACATGTCACGGAAGTACTTACTCCGATTCTTATGGAACATGAACGGATGTCATTGTATTAGCAACCCTGACGTTTACATTAGTAGATTATAAAGTTACGAATAAATACTAATAATGTTAATAATGTAAATACACTACGATCTGGAGTAGCCTGTGAATTTGCAACCCACTGTATGGACATAGAAAGAGGCAATATTTATTGGAATCCATTACCCATGAGGGCTCATGCGGAAAGCTTAATTTTAGCGCGCTTTACATGGGAATTGCGAAAGTATTAACTGATAATACCGGCATACAACCTTAAGTAGTTTGTACTTTAAACTCGATACTGTTTTTGTTTTAACGAAAAAGAAAGAAGTAGTGTGTGGACACGCTTATATTAATTAAACATCCAAAATTGTTAATTTTCGAGATGACACCTGATAATAAAGTGTTTGATAAACAATATAAATCCGAAAATCTTGATACTTTCACCTATATGAACTCTAAATTTGTATATGTAAAAAAACATACGCACTCAGATAAGTCAATTATACAAAAATGTACTTCTGCAACAATGCAACCTTAAACAGAAAATATTAAAAAATGCCTTGGCTCTCGTTACTCATTCTCCAGACGTTTTTGCTTACTACGTAGTGCAAGGGCCGGGATATATGGCATTATTGGCCGGTGAGGTAATACATATAGTAAAGTGCGTACCTGTCGAAGTAAAGCTTGCTCAAACCCAAGAATGCTACGACCAATTAATACGAAATAATATAACATATATTTCTTAACTCCACAGACTTATATTTTATTGCGACAGGTCACTTACATCTGCTATGTATCTCTTAGAAGATTCTTGGTACAAATTCGTACCTAGAAATGTTACCTGTAGAAATATTACCACCTGTAATCCTGAAACCAATGACTAAACCAACATGGAAATATGTCAGGCCCGGCTCACTCGCTAAGCAGGATATATTCAGATATAATAATTTAGAGACTCTACAGGACCATATAATGTTCCCGGCCAAACGACTTTCTGTATGCGGTAGCCCGAGAAATGATGGGGCAGCCAGGTTTCATAAATCGAAGTTCGTTCTCTAATCTTTTAGACGAAGCTTCAATAGAGAAAATAGCTATATCTGCATGGGAAAAATTCCGGAATAAATTTCTGATTTTCGGAAATATCAGTGCTGGGATAATCGGAATATACGTAAGTGCGAGAGTTATAAAACTAATAATAGATACATTCGTGCACAGAATGTCTTGCGCACTGTGTATGGATGGTCGATGTATCTGCTAGGAGCCTTCCTAGCAGATAGGACTCGGTCACTCAATTTTTATTACACCTGGATAGTAGTTACACCAAAAACAAAAAACTTTACTGCCTCGGCGCCCGCTGAGACGGAACCTAACAAATCTAGTTAAAACCGTAAAATTTTCTGACCAGATGGATGAGGAAAAGGTCTGCATCCCTCCTCTTCCTCTTAAAGGGGAGCATGTCTATCCTCCAATTCCACTAATGGAAAACTCTATTTATATCTTAGAATTAAAGGGTTAAAACCAGGAAGCATAAGCATAACCACTTCTGCTGAAATTCTTCTTTTTTATTGGATGTCTCTTAGTGTCTCTCTTTATAGTTGATATTAACTATGTCATGTAGCTATTTCGTTATTTACAGATTTCTTATAGATTACAATGGAGATTGCCATTCTTAACACAAAATACCTAACACGCAGTCCCTTGTTCAGTCAAGGTGAGAAGGATGGACTCACTTTTCCTGTTTTGGGTACAACTTAATAACAGCCAAGAAGATTTCAAGGATCTGATGAAAGATCTTGCTCGCAGAATGACGCGACGAAATCGATTTCTATATCATCGAGTCTATGATGTTTGCTTAGATGAAATAGTTGTTATTCAAAAGGGCATCGAGGTGTCGTACTCCAAATCCGAGGGGCGGAACAGTCTCAATCGATCTAAAGGACTGGGGCCGCCTTATGAAACGATGCCATTTCGAAATCTATATATTGGAAGATAGGCTTTGCAAGCTGGAGTGGCAACGTAGAAGACGTGGAAGAAGAAGTAGTGATAGTGAACTTAGAAATAAGGAATGAGTGCGGGACCGAAATGAATAATGTTAAGGACATACTTATAGATTTAGGGCACACATAGCATCCAGAAGGGATGTTAGAACCTGTGGATCCCTCAATTTAATAAGTCACATAGAAGTAATATTAAGATTAAAATTATGAATTGGTAATCCAATAAGGGAATACCGCTTACGCATCCCAGTATACATAATTATATATATTTTTATAATATGATATGATCAAAATAAGGAACTCAATTTTGCTACACCTCTGAGTATTGAATAATATAATATTAATATTAATAATCTCTTGGTAGAAATACGCGAAATGCCACTGTGTCGCTACCTCTGCTGCATCACTGAATCATCAGATGAAGGACCATCTAGCCCAGTTCAAGCAAAAGATCAGTGGAATGGCTACCGGTATTTAAGAAACCTTTGATGTGTCATTGTATTGGAAGGGTGTTGAGTCTATCAATACAATAGCAGTTTTATTAAAATTTGCAACGATTGCTACGAACGCGAGACAGCCGGATATAAGAAGCAATTTTTAGTTGTCTTTTCATATAGTTACGCACCAGAGTACCGTGCGTAATCAAACAAGATGTATAACTTACAATAAGCCGATAGCGTGCGTATAGCCTGCAGAGGATTGTCCGAGCTGCGTCGAATCATTTATACATGCTGACAGAGCATATCTGGATGCCGGGTGGGGCATACTATCAGTCTCCTCCATGAATTCAGGATTAAGAAAATAACCCTTGAGTCATTTAAAATTTAAGCCTATTAGGGACTTTAGTATTTTGTGTTCAGCGACACTCAAGCAGTTTTCCTTTTATTACGAGATATAAAAAAATATATTTTATACAAGAATATATAGAAAAAATATAGCGAATATCTTGCGTAAGATAATTAGTTTCAGATAATTTGATAAATTGAACGATGTTACTACCTTTCCTCTTCTTCTTTAACAGAAACAAAAAATTAATGAACTACTTGCTCGTCGATTACAGTATATACAAAATGACAGGACCCTGTTATGGCAACTTCTGCTGCATAAGGCGAGAGACAGAAGCTTATTCAAAAGACCATCTGTGGTATGTTTATAAATACCTAACGAAACTCAGATGTGTTATCACATGGGAGAATCGTCTGATATATTAACAATATGGGCAACTACTTTAAGATTGGACAGAGATGTTACACATATCTGTCAGACGATTTAAAATTTATTTATTCACTTATGTACACACATCTAATTTATATAGACTCGGTGCTCCAGAAGCGAAATGTACAGTCTGCAATGAAATAATGGTAATAGCCAAGGATGTGATAAACTGTCCCGGTTGCCTCAAACAGTTTCAGCAAATCAGTCAAAATCCCTATATGAAAACACGTTTAGACGTAGGATGGGGATTACCATTAGTCAGCATGTCAGCCAGCATCATGAGTTCGCCCAATGCTTAATGCATAGCATTGCGTAACCAAACAAGTGGTTTTTCCTCTTTTCCTGCCATCGTTGATGCTTATTTCCTTCAGTTTCAATTGAACTGACCAATTATATAAGAAAAAAAAAAGTGAGACAAATTACACTTGTATTATAACGATTATTCATAAGAGAAATATTAGAGTTATCACAAATATTTATATAGTTTCAATTGAAATGACCAATTATTTAAGAAAGAAAAGGAAAGTGAGACAAATTACACTTGCATTGCGACGATTATTCATAAGGGAAATATATAATATTAGAGTTATCACAAATACTTATATACGCGCGCGCGCGCACACGCACGCACGTACGCACGCACGCACGCACGCATGCACACACA